ACAGATCCCAAGCACTGGAGCTGTCCGTTGACCATAATGGCCACCCGAGCGCACAGGGCTTCGCACTCTTCCATCGAGTGTGACGTCAGTACGAATGCCGAGCCATATATGCGCTGAAGTGATGCCAGAGTTGACCATATCTTACGTCTGGCCGATGGGTCCACTCCAGCAGTTGGCTCATCTATAATTAAGATTAAGGTGTAATTCGATATAAAGATAGTATTTGACTTTAATTGGATGTTCGAGTGATCAATACTAACATAATTGATATAATTTAATTAATATTATATATATATAAAAGTTGTGACATATTTTAATGAAAATTGAAAAATAATCTTAAACAAAAGTGTTTTTGTAATTAATAATTAGCAGTATAAATTATAGCGTTATATTGATTGCATTTTCAATTAACGTATATCATATAAAAATCATATTAATCATGTTATCAATATATAAAAATATAATATAACTTCAGTATAACTTCAATATAACTGTACCTAAGAATATGACGGCCGGTGCGGCGCACAGGGCTATAGCCAGCGATAGTTTGCGTCGATTACCGCCGCTATAGGTTTCGGTGCATTTGTGGACGTGAGGGGTCAGGTCTACCATAGCTGTCAGATCCTTCACATACGCGGGTATCATATCCTCAGTCATACCCCTTAACCGGCAAAACATAAACAACGTCTCAATTCCCGTCATTTTGTTGAGCAAAGCGTCAAACTGTGTACAATAACCCACTTCTCGTTGAAAGTGCTGTAAGTCGTGCCGGAGTGACAACCGGCCGATCCAGGCCTGGCCTCCCGTCAGACTCTCGTCGCCCGTAAGCATACGAAAGGTTGTGGTCTTTCCGGCGCCGTTCACTCCCAACAGTCCGAAACACTCCTCCTTATGGACACCAAACGAGAGGTTATCGACGGCTGGAAATGCTTTGAATGTTTTGCACAGATTTTGCACAACAATCGCATCACTGGTCACACTATCGGCGCCCACCAGACCATCGATGCGCTG